GGGGGATTTCGGGGAAGAGCTATATTGTGTGGCTGCCTACAACAAACTGTCTCCTCTCTACGTGGGCACTGCTGTCCAGGATTCTGTGGCCCCTCTGATACCTCCCCCACCCAACGCTGATCATCCCGGGCCCAGGTCAATTACTTTGAAATTAAGTCAGAGTCATTAGATCTTACAGATGCACAGGACACAGGAGAACCTTGAGCCCCTGGGTCTCCAAAAGGCCTCTGGGATTTAAAATATTGTCTCCCTAGATCATTCTCAAAGCGGGTGGGGGTCGAGAGATGGAGGACATAGGAAGGGAGGGAAGGGATAGGGATGCAGAAAGGAACTGCGATGTGTTATGTACCTGTACCAGCTCTACCCAAGAAAAGTAAACCTTATGTACTGCAACCATGTACCCGAAAAAGGAAGGGATTGAGAGACTGGTGGAGGTGGGAGGAAGGGAAAGGAGATGAGAAAAGGAATTCAGATGTGTTGTGTACATGTACCAACTTACCACAAGGATTGTCAACATTATGTACTACACATAACATAACATTTTTAAAAACTAAACAAAAAAATTTTCTCCCCATCCTACCATAAGCCTATGATTCTACCATTAAGGAAATATTTCTTGGCCTAAGGCTTTATTGGTATTTAATTATAAATCCTCTTAGGAGATTTAATATCTTAGCTGCCAAATTTTAGACTCTCATAAATATCACCATATGTAGCAGGGATCCCACTTCGGCCAGGCTCAGGCATATCCAAATAGGTAAGAGAAACCAGTGAGGAAGACCCCAGACAGACCATTTCCTGAAATGAGTCCAGTGACATCTGCTGCGTGTGTCCAGTGTTTATTTTCCCTTGTATTTCTTTGGGGGAGCTCCCTCTTCCTCAGAGAGTCCACCAGGTCCTGGTGAGCTGACTCCCAGGCAAGTGGAAGGTCCAGGACACAAACCTGGACAATCAGAACATTCTTATCTAATGGCTAAAATGTTTGATTCTTGTGCCAGCCCCTGACCTAAGCCTGACCAATGAGTCTCAAACCTAGGACTTCTGCTGGAACTCTTGAGAATGATAATCCCTGTAAGGTCCCTCTTGTCCAGATGTGAGGCCAGTACTGCCTCCCTGAGTGGCACCAGCTGCTGAGCCTCACCCCTCACCCTCCCGAAGGCCCAGTGGCTGCTGCCACTCAGGGAGGCAGTACTGCCTTTATACATGGGCAAAAGGGACCTTACTCTGGGCCAGCACTTTGAGAGGACTCTACTCGTGCTTTCTTCTAGTGTCACTTTTCCCAAGGGTAAGGGACCGAGAGGACCCAGTGGATGTACTCATACATGCTCACATTTCCTTCTTCCTAGCCTATACCCTGGGTGCACAGAGCCCTGGACTTCCTTGTGCAAAATGCTTAGATCCTACTTCTAGAATTGCAGGCCTCTTCCCCAGCCCACCCTAAGGCAAGCTGAATGGCTGGTGAGTAGACAAGTGGTGAGATTGAAACACAGAAGCGTGTGCTGCAGGGGCTTGTCTCAGGCCCCCTCAGCGGTCACACCAGAGCGGGGGTGAGAGGACAAGACAGGCAGCCCATGCGGTGTGAGTGCAAGAGGTTCTCGAGTCAGCTCTCCCCACAACCATGTTCCAGAACAGCAATCTGAGGAGGGTGAGAATTCTACATTCAAACTTGACCTTCCAGGCCGTTACTAAGGCTTACTTGTCAAGCTAGGAGGCTAGAACACAGCTGCAACAGACTTAGACACATGGTCCATGGACCTCTTGTCCCAAGGCCCACAAATGTTAGCAGCTCCCTTGCCAGTGGGTGCTCCTTAGGAGGGGAGAAATCTATCTGAGATTTTCTTTCTAGTGAGTCATGGTGTGAGGTTTTCTCAGGCTACATTTACAGATCTGGGAAGCACAGTTCACAGATTCCTTGTTCCAGGCTAAAGAGAAAGCTGACACATGCTGCCTGCTGCCTTGCAGTTTAATGATTTCTCTCAATGTGGTCTCCTCAGCTCACCCCAAAGATTTAGGCATGTAGGGAGGCTCAGGCTGGAGACAGGGTGGTTCATGGCCATACTGAGGAATTCTTTATCTGTCAGGCTCTCTTAATTGTTTTTTTGTTTTTGTTTTTTGTTGTTGTTTTTTTAGGATGTAATGTCATAGATTCCAGCAGTAGCTTATGAGGAACATCTGAGGACAGGCCTTGGGGCAAGCCAGAGGTCATCCTTCTACCTCTCCTCTGAGTGTCCCTAAACCCTAGGGAATGTGTCGTTAGTGCCCTTGGGGATGGAGACCTGCAAGGCACATGGTCTGGCCTCTGAGCAGTTGCCATCTGGTTGAGGAATGAACAATAATATTGAAGTCATTAAAACACAATGGTAAAACACATGCACATATATACCCCACAGTGTAACTTAAAGTACAACATAAAGAATTTTCAAGGCTAGAGACCATCTAGTCCAGAGTTTCCCAACCTTGGCATGAATGACACTTTATGGCCAGATGATTGGGCGGCGGGGGGTGGGGGGGGGGCGTCTTATGCATTGGATGAACCCTGTCTCCAGAAACTGTCCACAACCCCTGCAGGCCAAAATCCCCATACTGCACAATTCAGGAGGCCCCACCATTTCCAGTGCCTGGGGACTCCCTAGACGCAGGAAGGCCCAGAAAGGGGAGGTGATAGGGTCTGGAGGAACCTGGCTTCCAGGAGGAAGTGGCACTTGAACTGAGCCTCACAGGATGGGTAGGAGTTGGCTAACCTTCCTACAGGGACAGCACTCCAGATGGGGAAGAGTGTGCTCCAAGCAGAGAGACAGGAACAAGCAGTGTACCCCGGAGGGTTGTGCAGGAAGCCAAAAGGTTCCGAGCTGGGTAGATAAAGAGGGACAAAATGCAGCTGCTCTGCTGGCCAAGCCACATCCCTTGTCACAGGGCTGCATCATCAGCCAGGAAGAAGGGAGTCCCTTTGCTGAGTACAAAAGTGTTTTATGCTCCCTGCCTGACGGGCTCTTGGTGCCTCATGGCAGGGAGGAGGTGTCTTTCTTTCCTTCTTTTTTCTTTTTCCAGTAGTAGGGATTGAACCCAGAGCCTTCACAACGAGTTACAACCCCAGTCTTTCTCCTTTCTCCTTTTTCTTCCTTCCTTCCTTCCTTCCTCTTTCTTCCTTCCTTCCTCTTTCTTCCTTCCTTCCTCTTTCTTCCTTCCTTCCTCCCTCCATCTCCTTCTTTCTTTCCTTCTTTTCTTTCTTTCTTTCTTTCCTTCCTTCCTTCCTTCTTTCTCTTTCTTTCGACAGGGCCTTGCTAAATTGCTACAGGCTAGAGTTAAACTTGCAATCTTTCTGCCTCAGGCTCTCAGACATGTGCCAGCACACTTGGCAAGGAGACCTATGACACAGAGGTGCCCCAGAGGCCAGCAAAGTTCCCTGGAAATAGCATACCCAGACATGACAAAGAGAGCAAACCAGCAAAGACGCAAAGACAGCCAGCAATCTGTCAGCGTCTGTCTGATGGCGCGGTGGCTTCCCCACCCCTCTCTGCTCCTCCCCACTCTGACTGGTCTGGTGCAGACCACTCCCTACCTCAGGGCTCCAAATGGAAGAATGTGACCTGAGGGTTTTGGCCAAACACAAAGGATCAGCAAGGCAGTGAGAGAAGTCGAGGTCTGGACAGGCAGACAGTAGCCAGGGCATCTGAGTTTCGCTACTGCTTCTGCCCCCTCCAAAGAAAAGCCCTGCAGAGATGAGGCCCCCCTTCAGGGATTCCTTCTGCCCAGAGCACCTTCCCACTTACAAATAGACCTCTGGAACCTGCAGGAATCCCTTGACTCATCAACTTCCCCTCTTTTGCTCACTGAGCCAGCAATAAGCCAGTACAAACTAAGATACAAGTACTCCTGGGGCTACATGAAGGTTTCCAAAGGGTATGTGTTTTGGCCTGGGTCACCTCAAGAGACTAACATGACAAGTCCTCAGTTCTCCCAGAGTGCTCTTACACGGGTGATCTGGCCCAGTCATGCACATGGACAGGTGCTATCGATTGTTCTTCCTGCCTCCCTTTCATGGTCTCCCTTCCCCTTCCTACAAGAAAGGCACATCATTTGCCCATCCCAAATCACAGCCTGGTGCAGCGACTTAGGGGAAAATGCCTGGTGCAACCAAAGCACAATCTAAATTCTGATGTCCATGTTGAGAAAAGGAGAAACTTTCATGACTGGGAAAATCAAGTAGCTTCCAATGCTTTGCTTTCATTCAAAGTGAAGGAAAGTCAATTTCTAGTTGTCAGCTAATAAGATTTTTTAATGATTTACCCATATGGTTTTGGGCATATGATTCTAAAGGAGATACAATTCAGTGACATTGCTATCAACAAAGCCCTTGCATTCCTCTATATTATTTGAAAAAGGCTCCTGAGCTCAGCTCTTGCATCAATTTTTTTAAAAATACTCACCCCTGAGCAATATGTGATATTCACCCATGGATATATGAACTGGTCAGGATGGGGGACAGCTTTATCCCCTTAAGAGATGCAGTTCTTTATTTTTATTTTTTGCTCCCTTATTTATTAATTGTGCATCACTGTTATGATATAAATCCAGACAAAATGTTCTTTACATAGAGCCTGTGGTTGCAGGGAATTCTAAGAATACGTTCATTTTAAATACATAGTTTTACTGGTGAGAAGTATGACAGGATGATACATTAAAAACTTTCAGGCATAAAAATATAGGCTAAAATTCTGTAGGGAAAGTGGAATGGAAACTTTAAGTGCAAGGAGAAAAAAAAGGATGAAATTTCTCCAACTTGTTCATGTATTTTTTAAAGACGTGATGGTGGGTAGCCAATCGCTATAGTATTGCACTTTAAAATATTTTTTCAGAGTACTATAACAGTGTAATTTTAAAATGTCAATATTCGCAACACACCAGAAAGTAGATTTTATGTCGTTATTTAAATTTGTTTTAAAAAATACTTTCAAATAAAAATGTACAAGGGGGCACTTAAGTTTTCAAAATTCTTTTAGGAGCCTGCAAGAAAAGCATTTGGGGAGCGGGTGTCACGGAGCCCAGCCCTGGCCCGCCCCGGGGAGGGGAGGCGTCTGCAGCAGATACAAATTCAGGGCTTTGGCGGTTCCCTAGGTCCCCGGGTCTTTGACGCCGGTAGGCACCTCTGAGCGAGCCTGGCCGGCTGAAACTCCTTGGTGCCAGGTGCTGGGAAAGAAGCCAAGGAGCTGGCCCTTCCTCCTGTCAATACTTTCTTCTGCCTTTTTGTCTGTTTTATTGTTTGATTTTAAACATTCCTCCAAACTCCCTTTCTCTGCACTCCAGATATCTGTCGGCAGGTCCTGGTCAGTCCCGTCCCGCCAGGCCTCTCCCCGCAGCTGGGTCCTAAGCTGCCCGGCCCCCGCGTCCGGGGCGCGAGCGGCGGAGCCTGCAGACGCACGGGCGCGGGCGACATCGAGACGCTCGGTGCTCTGGGCTGCAGGCAGCTGGGCGCGCAGCTGCGTTAGGAGTCGGTGCGCACGGCGCGGGTGCATCTCGCTTCCCAGCGATTAGAGAAGTCTGGGCTTCCTAGTCTCTCCCTCCTCCTTCTGTTCCCAGAGAGCCGGGAAGAGTTCCCAAGCCCCCAGATCTGCGCAAGTAACTTGCCAACTCGGGATGCTGGAGCGCCCTCCCCGCCCCTCCTCCGCCGCCCAGCCCGAGCTATGAGGTCATGCTCGGGCCACGTGACCGTCGCCTCCTCCTCGGTCCTCCGTGATACAATTACTAAGACGGTCGGGGCGTCGGTGACATTCAAACCTGCTCTCTCCTCCTCCACCCGCTCCTCGGAGGCGCTGGCCCCTTTACACCAAGGGAACGTCTCAAAAGTCTGAGAATCTGCAATATACGGCTCCCAAGGCTACAATTTAGGAAAGGAGGCGAGAGGGAAGGAAAAAGTCCAAGACTACAATAATTCTTGCTGCTATTTGAAACCCACCCAGAAGCCTTGTTTTTACAATGGCTTTTGCCAAAATAATTTGACATCTATTTTCATCGTCTTTTAGAAATCTTTTTTTACCCCCAAGAATTGCAAATCTAGAATACTTGCCTATGGAAATATGGCAAACTGGGGCAAGGGTTTAGGTACACAAAATTCACGTCCTTAAAACTGAAAGAAACAAAGTGTATGAAAAGATTGAATAAATTGGGGTGCAAAAGAACAACATAATATTGAGAAGTCATTAACAATGGTGAATTTCAGGAATTTTTCACAACCTGGGGCTTGCAAGAAAAAAATGACACTGCCTGGTATTTGTTGAGCACTTACTACATGCTGGTTCTGGTAAATGCTTTCTATAGATTGATTCTACACCCTTAAGAGAAACATATTATTGATATCCTAAAACCTGTGGCCAGAGAAGGAACTTGCCTATGGTTAACTATCCTAAGAAAGTGAAAACTGAGGCTTAGAGTTTATTTTCAAAGGGCTAGGCAGCAGAGGCTGCATTTAAACTAGGTTAATTTGTGGCAAGAGTCTAGCCTCTTACCCTCATGCCTGTCCAAAAATAATCCTGACATAACACTACATACACAACACCAGGCCAGTGATACCTGGATGCACACACTGTGAAAGGAATAGAGAGGCGAGACCCCACATACACATTTTCTGTCTCTCAGTAACACAATTACTCATGATTTAAATTTTCTTTTAAATTCCTATAATGTATAGAAATTTGTCTAATTGTCTTTAACAATTAGACAAAATCTTATATACGCAGATTGATCACCCACTAAAAAGCCACGTGCTGAATTATAGCATTATTCATTGTAATGAAAACTCAAAAGTAGATCAAATGTTAATTACAATTGGATTAAATTAGAAAACCTATATTTGTTTTGATAGTTTGCAGGCACTAAAAAATGAAGATCACAAAGATCCCGTGGTGCCATTATGTGGAAACCAAAGTATGAGATGATATGCATTTTACGCATAATTATTTGAGGATTTCACTGTGAAATCTATGAGGAAAGAGAAAAATGGTAACTATAGTAGGATGGTAAAGGTTTAGGTTTTATAGTGAAAAGTTTTAAATCTTTTTCTGACTTCGGTAACATATTTCTATTTTTTGTATAATATTATAATAAAAAAATGTCACTGAGTTAAGGTTTAGTATCAAAATGAGCATGGGAAATATGGGTCTCTGTTTTGCTTTTTGAGAGAGCTTTCTGTTTTAGCTCATTGCACTGTCAAGATGCCCCCACGACAACAGGCATTTTCTTTCCCATTTTACTGATAGCAAAGTTAGAGCATTGAGAAGAGGAATCGTGAGGAGCAAACTAGCAAAGAATGGCAACTCTGGGACAAGAAACAAGGCCAGTGATGTCCCAGCTCAGGTCTCTGGCCTACACCTCACTGATTTCCTTACACAAAGGGTTGTGGGACACTGCCTGGAGAATACAAACTGCTATATTAAGTCCCCAAACACTGAGATCCAAGTGTGGATTCTCCCTAAGGGGTGAGCAGGAGGCAGGAATCATGCCCTATTAATGCTCTTTGTCTTTAGATAAAAGAAGCCCTGAAGCAATCTCCTGCCACCCCCTTCCCCAGGAACAGCCACCCTAGTGCCCTTCTGGGAATGTGCCCTGCCCTGGGATGGAAGCAGAGGCCCGCAGCCTTGCAGTTCATCCTCCCCCAAATCCATGAGGGTACAGTGCTGCGCACAGCCCCAGCAGGAGGAGCAGGAACCCCATAGGACAGCATGTGCCAAAGGTCGGTAGCAACCCAGGCAGGTGCCAGTGAAGGAAGCCTAGAGAGAGAGATCAGGAGATGTCAAGGGTCAGTGATAGCTGGAACAACCAGCAAAGGGAGACAGGAACTGAAGAGCTCCAGGAAGCAGGAACAAAACTTGAACCAAACCCAGGTGCTCTATGGCCCAAAAAAGTTAGGAGGAGAGCCAAACCAAGGTTACCAATCAAATAAGGAGAAAAGAAGATGGGAGGGCAGGGATGTGATTGCTGACCTAAAGGATTTCTGCAAACAGTGCATTTGAGTGTTTTTTCCCATCTCAACTGTGGAACACGTATCAGCAGTTCTTGCTACTGAAGAGAAAGGTAAAATTAATGGCACTGTTTGTAAGAAAAAAGGGGTATCGTTGGCCCCAAACGCTATTTACAGGAAGCTTTTCAGAAAAAGGAAAAGTTTTGCCTATAAAGAGACCTGTACATAAGTCTGAGCCAGCTGCTCACAAGGCATGGGCTTCCCATTTCTGAGGAGTTGGTGAATTTCTTTTGAGCAAGGACTTCTCAGCCTCCATGCTATGAGCAATAAATTTCCATTGCTTATAGATGATCTTATCTAGGGTATTGTGTCATAGCAGCCTGAACAGATGGAGATCAGTGGGATACACTGGCAGTTCTTCTGCCAAGTTCCCTGAGTGTGCCCCCAGCCCCACCTGCCCATCTGCTGCTTGTGTGGTTGCCTCCTTCTCATCCTATAGATGCTGAGGACAGTAGGAAGAGCCCTACCTAAGCAGGGCCCATGGAACGACTCTCTGCCCAGAACTTTATACTTTTTCTTAGCACTTAGATCAACCTAAAATCATCCACTGCCAACTTGTTTGGTGCCCCCTCATGAGCTCTAACTGCTCCCATTTGGGCCCTCCCTGTCCATGTTATTGTCCTTTGTGAAGCCTGAGACCAGAACTATCCTGTTCACAGCAAGTGATGCTGTGGCTGACACTTGCTAACAACTCCATCATTATTTGTAGAATAAGACATCTGCTGATTTTAACTGAATTGAGTGAAACCCAGGGCTCAAATTTCAAAGGAGCAAAGGCAAGAATCTTCAGAAACACCTCCCACCAATTCAACCCTCTTGCTTCCACTCTTTTCTTTCCTCTCCTCTCTCCAGCCTTCCCCCTTTCTCCTTCCCTCCCACTGTTCCTCCCTCCTTTCTTTCCTCTCCCCTTTTCCTTCTTTCCTTTCCACCTTCTTTCCTTCTTTCTTGAGGTGCACCTGCACCTGCTCCCAGCCAGCCATGGGCCAGGTGCTGTATGCTGCCCCACTTCCCAACTGCTTTCCTCCTCCACCCACCTTGTGTGTTCTCAGTGGCCTGACCCAGTACAAGGGCCCAGTCTTTCCTTAGTCTCCTCAAGTCACCCTCCCCCTGTGCAGTCCCCCACAGGCCCACAGGCACCCTTTCTCCCTGGGGCCTCTCTGTGACTGAGCCTGAGGTCAGGATACCCTGGGAAAGGGAAAGGTGGCTTCTCCAAGCACCCAGCTAGGCCATGCAACTGTAATCACATCCATCCTGCTGGCCACCAGAGCTCTCAAACTTCTACACAGAAAGTTTTTTCAAAAATGAATGATGACACCTGCAGTCTGTTCAAGCTTTTTTTTTCCTTTGCAGTCACACAAGCCTTATTAGCTGATCATGACCCTGGATTGCTTCCTTGCTTCCTCTGAGCTATAGATTCAAGCAGATATTTGGCTCTCGAGCTTCCCTCAAGTTCTAACCTTCTGTAATCACCAGGACATGAATCTGCTCAGGTTTGCTGGCAGCCAGGCTGAAGCATCACCGTCTATGGACTCATCTCCCAGTGATGAAAGAACATGCTCGATTCAATCACTGCAAGGTGTCCAGCGGTGTGGAAGGCCAGGCAAGGGCCTCTCAGGACTGTATCCTATGGCTTGGGGTCTCCTGCTGTGCCTGCCTCCTAACAAAAGGAGCACTGTCCTGTAGGACAAGCTCACTGAGTTCTCTGGGAGCTGGCTCTGGATGGAAAGCATGGCCCAGGTACTAGAGAGCCAGGGCTTCTCGACTTGAGGAGGTGGCAGCGGAGGAGGGATCCTTTCCTTATGCTGTGAATAACAGGAGTGACTTCAGAGATGGGGCCATGAATTGAAAGGGGCATGGCCTTGTAGTGGGGAGAGCAAAAGAATGGGATAAAGAGCAATGTCCCCACAGAACTGAGCAAGGGGCTGCAGTTGCTTCCCAGAAATGTAGGGAGGATGGTGGTAGCAGCAGAAGAGATCTGCTAACCCACTTCCAAGTGTCCTGGGGCCCCAGGGCCAGAGGAAGCCCTGCAGCATTCTCTGTGCTGCTGGTCTGGTCCCTGCTGTCTTCAGGGCGTGCCACATGTCAAAGCATCCATCCCATTCTGGCTCTTCACGAAGTTCAGGATCAGAAGGAACTCCACACTCCCCCTCCTCGTGGTGGCCCCTGGGGAGGCACCTGACCCACAGGGCAGCAGGCATCTGTGCTGGCAGGCCCACTGCTGTGGGCTCAGTTTCCCTCGGCTCCACCCTCCTCCCCCAGCAGCTGTCACCACAAGCAGAACCTCTGCTTGCAGCCAACAGCTTCCCTTGCACCTCAGGAAGAAGTGCTAATGAGAGTGCAGGGGAAGGGCTGTGCCTGCCTTCAGTTGTCACAGTTTGCTCCTTCAGCTCCGGGACTGAGGAGCTCTCACAGGACGGTGCCTTCTCAAGGGTAGGATGTAAGCAGTAGTAAAGAATATGGAAGGTTGGGCTGCACTAGTTGAAAAGCAAAGACCCTGAGAGGCTGCAGCTGTCACACCTTCACAGGATGGGACAGCACTCGGTTGACAAGCCCAGTACCGGGGGCCACAGAGCCACCAAGCCTAGACCCCTATGGAGGGCAAGGTGAGAACCACACAGGTCCAAAGCAAAGTCTTCTGTCTGGATCCCAGGGAGAGAGGGGACCACCAACCCTGGAGCAAAGTGAGTCTTCCTGAGTCCTTAGCAGCCCTTTCCCAGAAAAAGTGGAGAAGAATTTTCTTGTGAAAAGCCCCCATCTCATATCCTGTCCCTTCCCATGGGCCAGAAGAGGAGAGCCACCCTGGAGTGCTCTCCCCAGGAACCAGGACCAAGCTGGGAAGAATGCAGCAGCCATCCACACTTGTCTGGAGCTTCCTGTGTGTGTGCCCTGTGCCAGGCACCAAGTCACACCACAGCAGGGATGCAAAGAACAGTGTGGAAGAGACGAGACAGGTAGAAAGAGCAGTTAACAGTAAACACAGGCATTGCACAAACATCCTTACAGAGATGCCACCCTGGTGGCCAGGGACTGCAGGAGGTCAGGCTTAACTAGTCACTTAGTTCTTGCTTTGCTAAGGAGACTCAGTGAAGGAGAAGACTGGGATCCATGGGGCTGGAAACAGAGAGAAATGTTGGGAAAGCATAGAGATGCTTGGACTGACCTAGGAGACAGTTTGCCCCACAGGCTTCAATTTCCTACAAAACTTCCATAAAATCTACACAACTGTCCATGTTTTTGGAGATAAGTTAACAGCAGGGACCAACAGCAGATCGAGGTTGGCTCAGGGAGTCAGAGCTGGGAAGGCTACAGGGTCCTGCACATTCTTAGGTTACAGTAGGAAGAGAAGCCGAGTTCCCAGAAGGCGAGGCAGCCAGGGGACTGGTCAGCTGGGAAGGGGAGGCCGGCCTGGCCTGGCCTGGAATGATGTCTGGGACAGGAGGTAGTTCCAAGGGTAGGAGAAAAAGTTATAAGATGATGTGACACTGTAGGAAGGCCTCAAGCTCTGGGCAAGTCACTCTGCGTATGAGGGTGGAGAAGGGAGAGGGAGGCTGCAGGAGACTGGCCCTGATTCTAATCTCTCCCGACCTGTGTCTCTGTGTATGAGTTTCACTTCCTCACAGAAGAGCTGGGGAGATTATTCATCACTCACTGAAGCTGATGAGCGCCACCCCCCCCCCCCCCCGCCTCTTTCTTCCCATCTCACTCCTCCTCCGGTTTGTCCTTCACATACGTAACACTAGGATGGTGTTTTCTACAGTACAGGTCTCACTGTCTCACACTTATTTAAGGCCCCGCATCACCCACCCACCAGAATTAAAGCAGGATGCATGACACCATGTAATCCCACCCTGCCCATCCTCCCAGTGTCATCCATGGTCTCATCCACGGCCTCCTCACCCTCAACCTCCATACATTCCTCTAACACACCCTACTTTTTCACCTCACAGGGCCTTTGCACGTGACTTCACACCTTTGCCTGGAGCTATTTTTCTAGCTCAATCCCAACAGATCTCTGTGACCACCCCTTCCAATCACTGTACTCCCACAGTATCTTTTTTTTTTTTTTTTTTGGTACCTGGGATCGAACTCGGTTCCTTGCACTTGCGCAGCAGGCGGTGAAACCACTGAGCTAAATCCCTGGCCCCACTCCCACAGTATCTTGTATCACCACGAGGCTGGCACTCATCATGTTGTATGGCTACCACAGTCATCATCTGTTCGTTTGTCCATGACCTGTTAAAGGACAGGACCAGATCATATTTCTTGGAGCACACCAACCAGCACAGTGCCTACCCCATTGCTGTCACTTAGAAAATGTTCACTGAAAGAATTTGAAACTCAAAGGGCCCACACAGAAGACACCCTTTGGGCATCTGTCCAGTTGGCAAAGCCCTTTCTTTCTCTAGAAACTGCCCCAGACGCCGACTCAACCAGAGACGGGCATTTGACCCAAACTGGGCCAAGTGGATTCCTTCTCAGAGCAGTGGAACTGGCTTCAAGGACAGCAAGTTTGTTTCTGGCACTGTTACACGGAGGGTTTGGCACTTGGACCACCCATATCCCACCATTTAAGCTGGGTATAGCAGAGGAAGTCATTCCTGAAAGAAAAAAAAATGAAGTGGCTTTACAGAGGACTTCAGGTGGGTTTCTGAGTCCCAGTGCCAGCTTTCTGCTGAGGTGATGAGAGATTCCTGCCTCCATGTCCTGTAAGGGATCTGTTTATTAATAACCTGTTCCCTACTTTGTGTTTGAGCTCCTTGCAGTGTGGCACTAACCACATAGGACACAACTTTGTCCTGGAGAGGGTCACTTGGGGTTTGTTTTCTTCAAAAATGTTTAATAAATAAAGTATGCTCGGGCACAGATTAGACCTTGAAGCACACATACTCCTGCAGAACCAGCTACATAATCTTCAGGGCCAAGTACAAAATAAAAATGTGAGATCCTTTGTTTAAAAAGAACCAAAAAAAGTGCTAATTAAAATACTAAACTACAAAGTTTTTTCCCTTTCTTTCTCTCTCTCCCCACTTTTCACAGTATTTATTTGCTATTTAATGTCTTCCAAAAAGAAATTAAAAATTTAAACTATTAGCGTGATTTTTACCATTCATTTTTATATAGTGCAATGCCCATATGCAAAACCACTGCAATTACACCGTCTGTGTTTCTTGGCCTCTCCCAGAAGGTGCCACGAGCTGACTGCAGCAGATGAGCACAAGTCCCCCTAGGCTTGAGCTGTCCAGGAGAGGACTTTGCCAGGCACAGAATATTTTGCTGCCCTTGGGGCCCAGGAAATTTGATAAGCATCAGCCCAGATCTACGCACTGTGTCTGGGTCAGGCACAGCTGGCCACCGTGAGGCCTGCCCTGAAACTCCGAAGCACACAGGTACCCTACTCTGACCCTCCCTGCAGGTACCCCAGGTTCTTGCCCAGCAGAGGGTGTTAAGATTCACCAGTAAGTTAAGGAAAGGCTGGGCCTCAGGGGTGCATGGGCTGGGAAATACGTGCCTAAGAACTGTCTGGGGGAGGTAGGCAGACTTTGGGAGTCAGTAGCATGCGTGAGCTTAGGCTCTCAATCTCTGGCACGATCAAGGCTTCACTTAGAAATCACAATTCCACAGGTAAAAGGAGGAATTTTGAGGCTCTGGAACACTAACCACAAGGGCTGGGCCTTCTGAATCTGGAGCCCTGGGTGACTCCTCTGACCAGACACCCATGATATTGGCCCTGTATACATGAGAGGGACCTCCAAGCCTCATTAAATAACACAAGCACAGCTGCTGAGGCTGAAACGAAAGATGGAAAACACATTGCAGGCCGGGTGTGGTGGCACACACCTGTGATCCCAGCAATCAAGAGGCTGAGGCAGGATGATTTTGGCAAGTTCGAAGCCAGCCTGGCCTACATAGTGAGTTCAAGACTAGCCATGACTACACAGCAAGACCCTGTCTCAAAAAACTGAAAAAAAAAGAAAAAAGAAGAAAACACACCTTACATGCATATGGGAGAAACTTAGAACACAGAGGCCTACGGGTCAAGAATATGATTCAAAGGGGCCAAGGATTTAGCTCAGTGGTTCCGCCAACTGCCTCGAAAGTGCAAGGTCCTGAGTTCAATCCCCCGTACCAAAAACAAACAAACAAACAAAAAAGAATACGATTCACATACCACCAAGGGTACACTAACAAAAGACAGCTTCACTCACAGACCACAAAATGGCCCACATGTTCTTCTCGATATGAGTGAACTGGAATTTGGTTTCTGAGCATTAATCTGAGCTTTACTGCAAAGTTAACAAAATATAATGCCTTAGCTATTCAGAGCTAAAGCTTTCTTTCATAAAAAAAATATAGGACAATAGCAAGACTTTCAAAGAGGAGAAGCCTTACAAGTTTCCTTTGCCCAAATAACGTAAGACTTAGCAGTTCAACCCCAGCTTCACTCTCCAGAGTTTCACACAACGAACTTTCTGTGGGCATTAGCTCCAAACAAAGCCTTTTGTATTTCTGGCATCTTTTGTTGGGCAGAGAGATCAAGTCGACTTTCCAGGGTATTAGAAACCTTTACCATCTGATTGCAACTGTAGACCTCCACGCCTCCAGCTGCACTCCTAGCCAAGTGTGCTTCTTGATCAATCTGGACCTGCACTTGTTTTTGGGATATCATCATGTACTCAGGAATGGCTTTTTGCACTGCAGCCACCATGAGGAGGAAGTCCTGAGGCCTACTGCGCACAATCATCACCGGCTCTAGCAGTTGGAGCAGAGCCTGCAGCACTAGTTTATCCAGTAGCTCCTGGTAAGTGAGCGGGTCCGCCACAATTCTACTGAGCCTCAGCTTTGCATCACTGAGCAGTTCTGAGATGAGATTGTTTCGGGCTGTCAGGACTTTGAGTCTCACCTGATTCCTCATGGTGGACATCTGGATCTTTTTCTGCTGCTCTATCTGCTTCTCCTTCTTCTCATAATACTCCATAATCTTGAGTCGCTGGGACTGCACAAGGCGTCCTTTCTCAATGTTGAACTCCTCCTCAGCCTTAGTATCTATTTCCTTTGCTTTTTCATTGGCTTCCTGCTCAATGAAAGCCATCATGTGCTTAATCTGCTTCTGCACACCAGCATCTGTTAGAGCCATGGCTTCTCTCAGAAAGGGGGTTGGAGAAAGAGCTGGTGGGGCCTTTGGTTTCTCTGAGTGAGGGTGGAGTTTCGAGAATGTCTCTGAAGTTCCTCTTCCCCAGCTGTGGAGGACACACGAGGAGGAGAAATAAAGTGAGAGCCTGGAAAGGAGAATCACAGAGACTATCTCCATAACTCTTATTTTACAGGTGACCAAACTGAGATTCAGAGAGGGAAAGCAGTTTGTCTGAGGCTATCCCTTAGGAGAATAGAGGCCTCCACCTGGGTATCCAGAGGTCCATACTTGCTCCACTCAGATTTTCACCAGATAATGATAATAGAGAGTTAAGGCAGACCTATTTTGCAAGTTCTCTAGGCATGGATGACCTAAGACTCACACAGGAAGTCAGTGGAATGGAAATACCCAACTAATATATAAATGGAAAAAACATGCACAGTTGAGGTGAGGAGGACTGGGAAGAGTCACAAGAAATTGTGGTCAGACAGGATTCAGTCCAGGAAGGCTGTTTGGAGGCAGAAAGACTTCAAGAGCCTTCAAATGATACAAAGAAGGAGAGTTCTGCTAGGCAGATAACAGCACCTTAGAGAGAGCTGAGAGGTGGCAGGGACTAAAACCAGACTTCAATGGGAATGATTTCCAAACCTGTGTATACACCTGAATTACCTGGGGACGTTTAAGAAATAAATACAACTTTCCGACTCCTACCTTATACCTGCTGCTGTTAGAATCTCTCCCAATATCACCTGGGATTTCAGATTTTCAAAAGTGGCAGAGTACTTGCCTGGCATGACCACACACACACACACACACACACACACACACACACACACACACACGAGATGGGCGATACAAAAATTGCTGCACAAATTTTGGACCAGAAGAATACATTAACTGGATTTTAAAATTTGTTAGAGGACCACATTAACAGATTTGATGAAGCACAAGAAAGAATCAATATACTTGAAGACAGGTCGTTTGAAATTATCCAGTTGTTATGGCTTGTATCTAGATGTCCCCCCAAAGCCTCATGTCCTCATAGGTGGGGATTTTTGGAGGTGGCTGGATCTTGGGTGCATGATACTGGGATTAAGGACGTGTGATAAACCAATGGGTTTAGCATAGTTCTGGGTGAGGATAATGGAAGCTCCACCCTGTGTGTGGGTGGCATCAGTCAACAGGCTCATAGCCTGGATGGAATATATTTATTTATTCAGTTTTAACAGGAGCTATTCCTTCTTTTTTTTTTTTTTTTTTGGTACCAGGGATTAAACTCCGGACTTGAGCTTGTGAGGCAAATGGCGGAACCACTGAGGTAAATCCCCAGCTGGATGAAATATAAAGGGAGAGAGGGAAGGGAAGCTTGCTGTAGCTGCTTCACTGCCTCCTGCCTGCTTTGCCATGGGCTCTTTCTCCTCTTCGATGCCCCTCATGCTATACCTTGGAGCCAGGTGACTATGGACTGAAACCTCTACAAACCATGGGGTGAAATAAAACCTTTCCTCTTTTAACTATGGGTGTCAAGTATTCTGTCTCAGGAGCAAGACACCAGTCAAAAGAGGAAAAAACTAAAAAAGAATGACAAAGAGTAAAAAAAGCCTAAGGGATTTATGGGACACCATTAAGTGAAGCAGCATCTGCATGATGGGAGTCTCAGAAGAACAAGGGCAAGAGAAAAGAACAGAAAGCTTTTGGAGAAATAATACCCTCAAACTCCTCAAATCCAGGAAATAAATGGATATTTAGATTCCAGAAGTCCAACAGAGTCCAACTAAGAAGAGAGGTGCCCACAAAGACATATTATAAGCAAATTGTCCAAAGTCAAAAAGAAAGCAGCAGGGCTGGGGATTTAGCTCAGCAGCAAAGCACCTGCCTGGCAAACTCGAGGTCCTGAGTTCGATCCCTGGTACCAAAAACAAACAAACAAAAACAAAAACAAAAAAGCAGCAAGAGAATGAAACTGAGCCTGTAGCTCCAGCTACTTGGGAGGGCTAAGGATTGCTTGACCACAGGAGACAAAGGACAGTCTGGAAAGCATAGCAAGAATTCCACCTCAACACAAAGGAAGAAAGGCAGGGATGGAGGGAAAGGGAAAAAGAGACAGGGATGGTGTTACATGCCTATAATCTCAGAACTCTGGGAGGCTGAGGCAGGAGGATCACAAATTCACACCAAACCCAGGCAATTTAGCAACTTAACAAGACGCTAACACAAGATAAGAAATAATAAAAAAGGGCTGGGAATGTAACTCAGTGTGAAGGTCTTGAGTTCAATCCCAACACACACACACACACACACTCACACACACACACACACACACACATACACACAAAAGAAATAAAACAGAGGAAGTTCATTACCACTGGACTTGCCTAACAAGAAATGCTAAGGGTAATACTTCAATTTGAAATAAAAGGACACTAAACAGAACATGAAAGTATGTGGAAGTATAAACTCACTGATAAAAATTAAATATTTTGGCAAACACAGAGTACTGTAATAATATAAACTAATGGTGGTGCATAAGTCACCTTTAATTCGGATAAAGTTAAAAGACAAAAGTATAAAAACAACTGCAAAGATAAGCTAGTGAATACATAATATAAAAAGGCATAAGTTGTGGTATCAATAACAAAATATGTGTGGAGGGAAGCATACAATTTTTTGTATGTGATTGAAGTTTCAATTTAAAAATAGGGGGGGTGGTACTGGGGATCAAACTCCGTCCTTGCGCTTGCACAGCTGGCAGTGAGACCACTGAGCCAAATCCCCGGCCCTGATTGTTACGTTTTATGTAAAACCCTGAAGTCAAGGAAAATAGTCAAAACAATCTAGAGAAAAAATAACAAAGCTAAAGATCTCACACTTCCTGTCCTCAAAGCATGTTACAAAACTAAAGTAATCAAAACAGTTTGTTACTGGCATAAAGACACATATAGACCAAAAGAACAGAATAAAGAGCACAAATAAAGCCACAGGTTTACAATTAAATGGTCTTCAACAATGATTCTGAGACTATGCAACAGAGAAAGGACAGTGTCCTCAATAAAAGATGTTGGGAAATCTGGATATCTACATGCAGATGAATGAAACTGGCCCCTTATCTTACACATATGCAAAAATCAACTTAAAATGGATTAAGACTTAAATATAAGACCTGAAACTATAAAACACCTAGAAGGAAACACAGATGAAAACTTTATATTAGTCTTAGCTATGATTCCTTGGATATGATGCCAAGAGAAAAAAAAACAAATATAGACAAGTGGGATTACATCAAATAAAATTTTCTGTGCTGCAAAGCAAACAATTATCAGAGTGAAAAAGAAAACTTTGGAATGGGAAAAAATGCAAACTATATATGGGCAAAGGGCCTAAATGGACATTTCTCCAAAGAATATATACAAGTGGCCAACAGGTATATGGAAAGATCTTCAACATTGCTAATTATTAGGGAAATGCAGATCAAAATTACAATGAGATATTATTTCATACCTGTTAGGATGACCGTTATAAAAGAAAAAAAATTACAACTATTGGCAAGGATTTATAGAAACTGGATCCCCTGTGGACTGTTGGTGGGAAGGTAAAATGGTGCAGCCATCATGGAAAACAGTATGGAAGTTCCTCAAAAAATTAAAAATAGGATTACCACTTCTGGGTATTTACCAAAAGAATTGAAAACAGGATCTCAAAGAGAGATTTGCATATCCATGTTTATTGCTTTCACAATAGCCAAGAGTTGGAAGCAACCTAAACATTCATTGAAGACTAAATGGATAAAGAAAATGTGATATATATATATATATGAATAGTATATATATATAATATATAAGAATATATACACAAATGAATATATTTATAATATATATATGAATAGTGTTCCTCCTCATAAAGAAAAGAAATCCTATCACATGTTACAACATGGATGAACCTTGAGGATATTGTGCTAAGTGAAATAAGGAAGTCATCAAAAGACAAATTCTGTATGTTCCACTTATATGAGGTATTGGAAATAATCACACTTATAGAAGCAGAAAATAGAAGGATGGTTGTCAGGGACCAGGGGGTGGGAGACATGGACAGTCGCTATTTAATGTGTGTAGAATCTTGGCCATTCAAGATGAGAAAGTTCCAGAGCTATATTGCATAATAACATGCATGTAGCTAACAATTCTGGCCTGTACATCTAAACATTTATGAAGAAGGCAGATTTAATGTTAAGTGTCTTTACCACACACACACACACACACACACACACACACACACAATGCTGTCCACAAAGATGTATCACTCACTCACTGAGCTTTGTAGAAAACAACCCAGTGTTCATGACAGAGATCAAGCCCTAGAGTTCAGCAAGACACGCTGTCAGTGGAAGACGACAAAACAAAACAAAACAAAACAAAAAACTAACCCATCTACTCCCATTATTTTAGGATCCACTTTTAAAAAAATATATTTTTGTAGAAAGAGTAAAACATTCTCCATTTCTAGATAACAAGTCAATTAAGTGGTTTTCAAACAATAGCTCCCTGAGTCACCATGCTCATCGCTAGCTCTGGGAGCCACTGTGGACTAAAAGCAGAGGAAGCACAAGACACAGGAAGCCACAGGAAGCCACAGGTTAAGTGTGTGAAGGAAAAAACACTGTAACTGAACTTACCAGTCTCCTGCCAAGGCCCGCCTTTGCTCTGGCGCCAGGAGTCTGCACACAGAATGTGGAACTTGGAACATAACCCGGAACCTGGCACTGTGGCTCCCTTCTTTGTGCAGACGACCCTCACAGTCTGACCAGGCAGCCTGAATCCATAATATAGCCAGGCTCTCCCTTGGGACGGCTGCCCATGTCTGCCAAGAGAAGGACAAGAGGGATTTCTCTGGCACTCAGGCCAGGGCCAGGCGCTTCCCTGCACACTGAGAATCTCAATTAAGTTGGCATGAAGTGGGCTCCACTCCAGGGTGGGCTCGCCTTAACAGACGCATGTGGACCCTGGCAGGCATTTATTAATTTACTAATGAAAACTACAGCTGTCATACTGGCAGTTCACGGCCTCCTTTCCCTGGATGTGAGTGGCCTGGGGAGCCAAATCTGGGGGAGGTTTAATGAGAGATTAGCACAAGTAAAAGTCACCAGATGGTCTTTAAGGGAGTCACACCTGCCACAGGGGCTGGCATGCTCCAGTCTGAGAGGCAGGCACCTCTCTGTGCCCAGATGGGGGATGAGTGGGCATGGCCAGCTCTCACAGTCTGGGCTCCAGAGTCAGCCTGCTGGAAGGCCTCATTCTGCACTGACCATTGGTATGACTCTGGCAAAGGACCCTGGCCCTTGAAGACTCGGTTTCCTCATTTGTATGGTGGAAATAATAATAGCATCCACATCATGGGATTATCGTGAGGGTTAAATGAAAGAAGTGACTGTTGCTCTAGGCACAGAGCTAACCTTCATGCTTGGTAACTGTCATCAACATTACTACTGCTGCTACTGTTAACTAACTCTTCTCTGACTTAGGCTTCATTTTTCATCACAGTTCCTCTTTGTGTTTACTGACTGCCTAGCACTGATTCGATTTCTACTCACTGAAGTGAAAAGTTATTTTAGTCTTGCTTTTGAAACTTAGCAAGCAGCTCTGCCTGGAATTCAGAGATTCTCCCAGTGCTTCATGGCACCTTTGCCCAGTCTCAAGACACCAGCCGTAACCTTGGTGATGGTGGGTGAAATTCCTGAACTCCAGGGCCCTCCACGCATCCCTACTGCAGCTTCTACAGTCCTAGGTCCTCATGCTTGTCCCTGCACCCCTACTTCTTAACATTTCTTAGTGCCAGGACTCAAAAGCAGCTGCAGGGTGGGGTAGGGTTCAAAGTCAGGGCTGCGGCCAATGTCTCTGCAGGAATGTGTGTACTCGGTATAATGCATCTGGCAGATGAAACTTCCAGGCTGTCTGGGATGGGGATTATAAGCCCACATGGGCCTGTCACTTGAGCAAAACAACAAAACCAACCAAGAAACACAAATGTGTGCTCTTACATGAGAGCTCAGAACCCTCTGCTCAGCCGAGGCAGGCTTGCCTGGCATCCATTCCCCTGCCTTGTGTTTGGGGCTGGGGACAGCATATAGGGCTCCAAGCCAGGCTTACGGCCCACCACCTCTTCAGTACCAGAAGCTTTTCATTGCCCCCTGAACACATCAACCCAGCCCCACCTAACAGCTTTTGCACACACAACTAAAATGGCCTGCCCTGGTTTCCTCTACTTGCTAAATCCCACCCTTATTTTCAGGCCCCACTGAAGCCCCACCACTTCCTGAGCCTCTGGATTCCTCGTGAAGATGAGGACAGCGTGGCCCATTTTCCAGATACGAATCAGAGCTAGATTCAGTGTCTTTTGTTGTTCCAACCACTTTTACTTCTTCTGGAAACGGCTGGAGAACAGGAACTCCTCCAGCAGGGCTTAGAGCAAACTGTTACTGGACACATTGGATTAAACATTTGGAGGTGAAGAGAGAACTTTCCTCTTTTTGATTTTGGCTTTTTTATTGTGAAATTTAATGCACATTCAGAAAAGTGCACAGAATGTAAATGTACAGTTTAAAGAATTACTATGAAGCAAAAATATCCTCTAAACACTACCCTGGTCAAGAACAGGAATATTGCCAGCATACCCAAGCCCTTCCCCCTCCCTATGACCTTGGCGGAGACATTTCAAACCTGGTGATTTTGTGTTTGTGGGTGCAAGAGAGTCTTTAGAGGAAGTGCAATTTCTCTTTCTTGGGTCCTTGCCTATGTGAGACTGTCCAGACCCTGAAGCAACTGTGCTTCACTCCAGCTAGGTTTGTAAGAGAGTCTGAGGTCAACCCTGTTGGTGAGGGCTCCTCACCACTGGCCAAAAGGGAAGCAGCTGCAGACTGGGGCCTTCAGATGCTTCAGGACTACAGCGCTGCATCATGAGGAAGGTAAGGGGCTCTCCAGAGCTCGGAGCGCAGGGCAACTTGTACGATCCAGGAAGTCGGTGAAGAAATTTAGGAAATCCTTTTGGGGATTTTAAGTATAGTATTAAGTATGTGGGAAGAGTGCATCCTTTTTTTGATTTCAACAAATATTTGTTGAACAGTATGCACTTGATCTTAGCCAAAAGGCCGAGAATCGATTGTTGAACAGTATGTTAGGTACTGGGCAGGCATGAGAGACAGGCAGTAGAGAACAGAGCAGATACCAGCCTGGGAATGAAGGGATCTAACCCTGAATCCCCACCCCAAGCTCCTCATGTCTCTTTTACCAAGTATTACCCTGCAGACAGTTAAATCTTTTGGTGGATGGTTTGAGATGTCCCACTGGTGACAATCAAACACCAGTGCAAGAATAGGGATGAAGATGAATGAAAGGGTACACGGCAATGTAGGAGAACTCCGACAAGAAAACAAGGTTTCGGGCAGATCCAAAGTAGCACCCTAATTTGCAGGAGAGTCACCTGGGAAAGGTAGACTATTGGTAGTATTCATTAAGAAGAATTTATTCAAATAGGAAGAATGACTCGAGTCTTTACTGAGACCATTGAATGCCTTGGCGTTTCCAGAGAGAATGCTGGTTTAGACAGGTGGAAAGATACCTGCTACTCTCACAGTGGTTTGGGCTAAGGGACAGGGAAGAAAGGACAGTGGTTGCAGCGGCTGTAGACTCCAGCTGAAAGAGGGGTCTTGAGGGTGAGGAGTCCATCAGGGAGGGAGGAATGAAGATTGGCTTTGCAGATGGACACCTCCATAAGCAGAGAGAGAATGAGGGCATGTAGATGCGGAGAATACTGCAGGCAAAGGCAGAGTGGTGGGCACGTGGAGAGGGGCAATGGGTTTGGCAGCAGCAGAAAGGCTTTTGCGGGAAGCATCTAGATATTGGGGTTCAGTTTGACTGGAGACATTTGTCAGTGTCTGAGAGTTTGGGCAGTAGGCCAAAAGCCCCACTTTTGAGCAGGGCTGTTACCTGACCAATACCTGCTTCAGGAAGATTAGCCTGCCGGGGCAGAGGCAAGAGAAGCCAACTATAAACCAGATGGAGACCACAGGGTCAGGCCCTAGGACAAGTGACATGGTGTTGGGAATGGAAGAAAGAGCACAAGGTGGAAAGGCTGTCAGGGTTGACGACTAGGGGTGTGGCACTCACAGGGCAGAGCTGATAGGCTCTAGGTCGGGGTGGGGTAAGCAGGAACTAGGCCTTCTGCTCTCCGGGGAGCAAGCTGAAGCAAGAGAATTCATTTGGTCAGAAAGACACCTGGAGAGAAAATCAGAAATGCCTGCAAAACTTTATCTTTGCTTCAGTGCTGGCAGTAAGAGTCACATGCAGTTGTAGTCCAAGAACTCCACCACTCCAGGGTAAAGCAGGCTTTGGCCCCAGCTGGAGAAGGCTAAAGCCTGCAGGAACCATGCAGGTAAAGAGAAAGCCATGTAAGCGGGGAAACATTATTTACAGCCAAAATCATTTACATTAACAATTTACAACTTAACTTCTCTAAAACATCTGCTGGCAGATTACTTCAAAGCAGCTGGGTCCTCCGCAGAAGCAATTTGCTTCAAATTTACATAGCTTAAAGTTTCTGGGGCAGCTTCCCCCAAAAGAAAAGCCCTTCATTTCCATCTCCTTCTCAGATGGCAAACACTGCCCAGGCCCAGACCTCTACCACGCTAGACAGTGTGGACTTGGCATCATAGACCTGATTTTTTTTAGAGAAGCTGGAAATTCCATTTCAAAAATAAAACATATCTATTGGTTTTGTGCTAAAATATACATAAACTTTGTCATTTTAACCATTTTAAGTGTATAGTTCTGTAGCATAAAGTACATTTGAAACCAAATGAAATAGAAAATCCAGAATTCATTGCAGGTAGTAAAATTAAGTATTGCTTTGTCAAACCTTTGTTATATGTATCTGTATATACACATATGTTATGTATTCTGGTTCACAATGAAAAATGTATTTATTACTGAGATTTGCAATAGAAAATGACTGAAACACACACGTTATCTGATCCACCCTCCTTAGGAAGTAGTTAAGCAACCATCTACTGTTACATAAGAAAATGTACCTTGGAAGACCTCATGTTCCCTCTCAATCATCTTATCAGAACACACTCATCCCAAAAAGCAAGCCCCTTCTGACATGGGGAATGGGTAGGTAGGAGTGGTCTAGATTTGGCCATGTGGTGTACAAGGGGTTTCTGCAGCCCCAACCGTTAGTATCGGCCTTCGAGGGCAGATGGGAGACGTCGCAGGATGGTAACTGCTCCAAGGCAGGACTCACTTCCCCCCTTCACGAGGAGAGGAAGCAGGCTGTCCCCAACACAGGAAGTAACCCTCTGGCATGGATGCTGTGATGGGCCACAGCCTGGCATCCTGGGAAGTGCACTGCACTTGGATCAGAGGTTGGGATCCCAGTCCTGATGCCACTCACAGGTTGGGTGATCTGGATAAAGATCCAGTCTGCCCAAGTCCTGTCTTAGGTGATGTGGGGGTGTTGGCCAGAGGTATGTATGAAGTGGATATGCAGAGGTAAGGGACTTTTGGAGCCACACACCCAAAATCTCCAGAACTGCATGGTTACAGCCTATAGGACCTCAAGTCTAAGTAGGATCAAAATGCATGCCTTAAGGAACAAATGCTCTGGCCCTTGTCCTCCCCCTATTTCTATTTATCATTTAGATTGACCCTTAGGTCAGTCATGTAACACACTATCCTCACCTTCCCCTGTCCTTTTCCTGTCCTTCTCCATCCCCCTAAATGAATTCATGCATACATGTCCTTCCTTTTTCCTTTATCCTTCCTTCCTGCTTCTATCTATAAAAACCCAGAGAAGCTTCA